AAATTGCTGTGGTGTTGATACTGGATGTGCAGCTTTGTTTACTTGTTAAATAAGCTGTCCTCTCTCTATTAGCCTGTTTCTTTAATCAAAAGTCACTCTTGTATACTGTCTATCCCTTTTTTTTTTTTTGCTCTAAATTGTTGTTCTTTTTTTCTCTTATCTTTTGTAATACCATTTCTCCGCTGTGTTTGTGTGTGTGTGCGTGCTAACCTTCACAGGCTGCCACACATGCACACACACACACACACACACACATATATACACACACACACACACACACACACATATTCATATACACAAACACATATATATGCAAGAGCACCCACACTCACGTACACACACAAACACAGTGCTGCCTTAGTGATAGGATCAGTCTGATGCTGTATAAATTTCCCCAGTACACTCTGGTGCGTGTGCACACACACACACACACACACACACACACACACACACACACACACACAGAAAGAGAACAAATGCCCTCCCTGTGCGCTGCCAAAGGACTGCTGCAAACAAAGATTAGAGAAAACACATCAATTTATGTGCCACTGCTTTTTATTTACTCTCGGGCTCGGGCTCCGGGTGACGGGGACTCCAAACACTCGGCCCTAGCGTTCCACTCCCGAGCCATCCGCACTGTGGTTGAAGCTTCTTTTTCAATAAGCACAAAACTGACTCCTGTATAATTACACTCATTAGGGAACTGTAGCCTGGACTTTACATAATCAACACTGATGCACTGGACACAAAGACACGGAGCTTCAAAGACCTCAGGCCCGTTCTGTAGTTGCAGTAATGACAATACAGCGGTAATGACGGTAATGATTCTTTGATGATGCCAATTATACACGGGCCTTTGTGCTCCCTTCACCAACCCCCCCCCCCCCCCCCCTCTCACTTCTCCTCCTGTCTCCCTGCCATCACTGACCTTACTGTATGTGGTGAAATGCCCGGAGCTCTGGCTGATTGTCAGGAGAGTTTTGATCCTCACCCGTCTGATACATGTCAACCAGGGGAACAGAATATCCTCAGTCGCGGTCATATTGCTTACAGTCGTCACTGTCAGGACGGCTTAACGGCGAGGAATCCTCACAACGGAATTATTTGCATCCAGCTGTTTAGTCGGGAGTCTTTCCCTCTGGCTACCTTTTCCTTTGCCTTCATGAATGTGTAACTATCCGTCTCCTCTGAGGCAGTGAATTTCATTTTCTTTTTGTTGATTGTGTTCGTTTGTATTTCGCAGGTCAGTTCTTGTCCTCTGGGCAGCAGAGGATACATTTAGTCAAGTGTAAATGCCTCATGTTTGCTGAATTGTGTACTCTCTGTTGCCAGAATCAGAGGGTAACTCACGTTTGTGACTGTTCACATGGATGTGTGTGTGTGTGTGTGTGTGTGTGTGTGTGTGTGTGTGTGTGTGTGTGTGTGTGTATGTGTGAGAGAGAGAGCCATCTTCCTAACAATGTGAGGTATATGTGGTCATGTGACGTGTACGAGCATCTCACTGGCTTGTGCTCGTCGGTGTCCCCCTCTCATCAGTGTGATTTAGGAGCTGCTAACGTGCTTGCAGTGTTTGCGCTGGTCCACCTGGAGGCCAGTTTCTGCCTGCGCCAGGAAGAACCGACAGCCCCCCCACCCCCCGCCATGCCCAAACTGTGGCCACCACAGCGGATGGGTGGGGTGTATGTGTGTGTGTGTGTGTGGGGGGGGGGGTTTCTCTCCGAGGTGGGCTGGTGGTTAAAGCTGGTTTGAGCTGGGGAAAGTGCTATAGTATTTCAGGATCAGTGAGCAGCAGACACAAGATCATAAATAGAGTTTTTATTGCTGAGCTGCTATGCTGGGTGAGCTCGGGTCTTTCAGCAAGATCACAGCAGTGATTGATGGCTCCCATGTGCCAAGGGAGGCGGGTGTGCGGTGTGGGCGTGGGGGGAGCACATCAGACAGCGGAAACAGTGGACATGGCAAGGCTGGCAGAGGCGCCTCCCCTCCCTCTCCTCCCCCAGGGTTACCCCCTGACAATCTCTTGTCCTGTGTCAGCCCCACAGATCTCTGTGTGCAGGCGCAGCATGGGCTCTTGTCTCACACAGTTTCTACCGGGGGCTGAAAGAGTCTTCAACAACCCCGCAGGCCCCTTCACTACAAACACACTCACATGCGTACAGGTGAAAGCTTTAAAAGTCTTCTGGTCCTGGTTAGCCTCCATTCAGCAGGTAAATTCATAGCTACATAAGAGTAGCTTGTTTGTTCCCTCCAGGGGCAAGTGAAGTACAACAGCACTGCTGCACCATTTGCACAAAGGTCTTTGATTTTTGATTAAGTAGTCTATTTGTGTAACCCTTCAAAGCCCCTGAAAACTGCCTCAAATTGTAAGAATTTATGAACATAAAATATTCACGACGAAACAAGAAACAATCAAAGTTACAGAAGCATCTTTCAGCGATTAAATTAAGACTCAAAATATCAGCTAATCTGCTTTATTAGCATCGTTTGAATGTGGTTTGATTTGACTGTCAGCAGATTCTTCAAACCAGTTGGAAAACAACAGATGAACAAAAGGGAAAATCAGAAAACTCAAATCTGAAATAAGCTCAGCTGGACTCCACCACTCATGGTAAAAATCTGATTGAGAAAATAAGTTATCAGGCTATTTAAGAAAGTGAGGAATCTTTTTGTTTCTTCTGTTTAAAATGAAATCCAAATTCTACCAGACTTAATGCAAAAATTGCACATTTATTTATTTATTTACTCATCTGACTTTTTAAATAATTTAGTTACGAAACATATTTTCATGGAAATCTGAAAGTGCTTGTTTTGCTCGGTAACAAAGCGATGCACATTCAAAATGCAGATAGTGTAGCAGGCAAAAGTACTTTCCTCTCTGCACTCTGCCCAGTTTCAGTGTCACGCTTCATACATATCCACTGAGGGTCTGGGGTCAGCTTTATTTACTGCAAAATGCAAATTGCAAATTGCAAAAAAAGAAAATCAGTTAGCATTCAAGCTAAATGTCCTCTGTTTTTTCTTTTTCTTTTTTTTCTTTTTTTTAAATGAGAAGATTTTGTCACATCTGTGCCAGCCTGGTCACCATGGTAACAGTCATGCTTACGCCACCTCTGCAGGAGGCTAAACTATTTCACAAAACGGCAAGCCTGAGGTCGAGACTCACCTTTACGTGTTAGACACTGGAGCTGCTTTTTTATGATCAGATGGTTTTATGTTCTGCTGACTCTTGATGTGACGTAGTGATGGAGAACAGAGGGGATGTGATACGCTCTGTGTGTTATGTTCTGTAGGTCTCCATTGTGAGGGTTTTTGTTTTTACAACCATGCTAATTCCGGGTGCGTAGCTGAGTAGTTTGGCAGGAGTGTGAGGAGGTTGCGTGGTTGAGGACCACAGAGATTTTTTTCATTGGGTGCCAGAGAGCAGCGTTGCTCAAAGCTTTTGAGAAAACATCTGATGGAGCCTCTTGAGTGCTCCCAGATTGGCAACATGAATAGCAGCTTTCAGAGAGGCTGCTTGCCCTAATGTGTTTTCAAGCACTGTGTGTGTGTGTGTGTGTGTGTGTGTGTGTGTGTGTGTGTGTGTGTGTGTGTGTGTGCGCCCACATTTGTGTTTGTGTGAGTTTTTCATGCATGTAGGTATGTATGCATCATAGATGCCACTTTACTCTGTGTACAAGTGTATGTGGGGGTGTGTGTGTGTGTGTGTGTGGGTGTGTGTGTGTCTGAGCGGTTTCGGTGTTTACATAAATAACTCGAGGCGGAGGCAATAATCCAGCAGCAGAAATGCACAGCTGTGTGTATTTCAGGGACTTTTTTCCAGTGGTGATGTCTCAATCCTTCACAGAGCTGTAGACCTACCTTTTCATTTATTTATAGAGACAGTAGCTGCATACGAAACAAACAGCTCCTCTCTGTGACGCTCTCTCCTGGGAAGGCTTCTCCTCTGACCGCACAGCTCTGCCTGGAAAAACTGAGGTGTTCCAGCAGCAGCCTTTACTGACAGGAGTGTGTTTGCTTGTTTGTCTCTTTCGACATTACTGTCCTGTTCTCCTGTTAACCCCCCACATATCCACCCGTCCGGTCTTTACAGCCATTTGTGCAAACGTAACCGAGAGGAGACGTGTCCCAGCTTCAGCTCTCATACACTTGCACGTTTTATTTAGCTGTATGCGTAATTCGGCCGTTCTAATTTGAACTTAAATGCCTGCAAACATCATCAGAGCTGTTTCATAAGCCTTACACTCCCAGTTGTTTTCCTGTTTGTCTGTCTGATCCGGTCCTCCACAGAGGCAGCACAGCCGTTGCAGCATTTTGGCTTGCAGGGCTGCACAGACAGCGAGCGGGCATGGAGTCATCAAGCAGCATGACAGAGGGGGCCTCGCTGGTCCTCAGAGAGCCACACTGCAGCACTCTGTCTCCCCCAAGTGGTGCGTCACCGCTCCCCAGGACCACCACCACCACCACCACTCGGACTGAGCTCTGTACAGTGTGATCATGCCTGCAGTTCGTTGTGCCCAGTTTGTCTTTTTATTGCCTCCTGACGATGATGTCTTCCTGTGCGTGTGTGTTAGCAGTGCAGGTGTCACTGTGTTTGGAGGGTGCTGACAAGCGTGGCTTACAACAGACAGGAGTGGGGTCGGATTCCACACACTCTTCTACAAAGCTTTGGGAATCATGGGTATTTTTGCCTGTGTGTGCCCCTGTGGCTATCAGGTTTTAACAGGGTGGCTTTGTATGCTGGGTGAGTCTGGTCCGGGCAGGCTGGGGAAAATGATACCTCCATCTACGGGAGATGTGACACACGGCCTCACTTTAACGCCATGAGGCTAAGGCGTTGCACGTGCTACAGCTGGGATGCTTTGGAAAGGGAAGGAAGCATCTGACGTTCACTCTGACAAAAACTTTAGAGCATGATGTGGTCTGACCCCTGAGCTGTGAAGTCGACCCCTGGCGTCTTTTCCTCCTGTTCACTGTGCTGTCTTTTCTCCTCTACCGCAGGTATGAAACGTCCGTTCAGCCCATCAGCTCTGCCCAGCACCGAGCTGGACAGGAGGGGGTTCGGCGCCGCGCTGGGAGCTCAGATGGACGTGGAGCCTTGCTGCGAAACCCAGGATGATGGCGCGGTACCAGACGAGCAGTCACAAGGGGGCGTCGTGCCCTCTGCACTCTACAGACCCAAAAGGGAGAGGAAGCAGCGGAGCTACACATTGTGTGAGGTCTGCAACATCCAACTCAACTCAGCCGCTCAGGCCCAGATTCACTACAACGGCAAATCCCACCAGAAGAGACTCAAGCAGATCAGCAATGGCAAGATGCCAAGCAACACAGGTAGGCCTCAAGTGCTGCTCGACTGACCATCGGTTTGTTTGTTTATTGTTGCAAAATTAGATATGAATGCAGAACATTGGATAAACTGCTGTGCCGCTGGATTTTGTAAGACCGCCTCGCACAATAGGGCCATGCAGATTAACAGAATCCCACACACTGTTCACAGCACACTGTCACCAGCCTCCGTGTGCCAATTCCCCCTACTTGTATTCAACAGAAGTTAAACAAATTGGATTCTATTTGCTGAAATGTGTTCAGACAGAGCCTTGGGCTGAAGATACACACAGACGCACACAAACCCACACCACATGCACGCACACATGCACGCACACACGCACGCAAGTGGAGCAGAGCTGAATGAAGTCAGAAAGTGAGAAGCTAATTAAGTGCTGGTTGTGTTTGATGGCTGTGCTTCTGGGAGAGATGCTGGAGTGAAGTTGGACATTTTGTCATTCTAGTCACAGCCTCGATTAGGACTCGACTGCAGAGGAATCAGTGTCTCCGTTAAGTTTGACTTGTTCACACTCCTGGTGTTTCCTTTTACTCGTCCCTCAGTCTTGCCAACAGGATGCACACTAAAGAAAACACCCAAAACGCACAAGAAAAGCGCGCACACACCCCTGGAAAAAATGTACATGTAGACATGTAGAAATGAAAAACACTTTTTAGAAACCCAGTTCAGGTGTTAATTGTCATGTGAGTGGATCTGTGTAGCGACAGGTCGTCTGAGGACTGAGGGGTCACAGTTGTGCGTGGCTGCCTAGTTTGTTCTTGACACTGAGAAACATGGCGATCACGTCTCAGCACGGCAGCTTCCTGAGCGGGAAGATGTCTGTCTGAACGAACCAATCACACGGCTTACATCTGCCCTCCAGACATGCGCACTGTCAACAGCCAGCAGGGCTTCGTAGATCACGTGTTCAGATGCATGTATGTTTTTTTGGGGGTTTTTTTCGTTTGTATCTGCATGTGTATATGTGTGTGTGTGTGTGTGTGTGTGTGTGTGTGTGTGTGTGTGTGTGTGTGTGTGTGATTGTGTGTGTGTTTGATTGTAAAAGAGCTTCAGCCGGCACGGATTGAAACAGGCGTTTTCTCACGTCAGGATATGACATTTTTCAAAGGAAGTGGAATAAACTCATCCCAGTGATAGATCTGTATGGTTCAATGTCAAGCCCTGAGAAGATATTTCTAAGGTACCAGTGGACTGACGCTCAAGGAAGAAGGCTTGCTCAACAGTTTCAATTCCAATACGGCTCGGGGAGTAAATGTGTCAAGTCTATGTATCCTTGACCAGAGCACTTGACAACCAACTTCTCTTACAGCAGTGATTTTTTTTTTTTGTTGATTTTTTTATGGGAGACTTTTATGGGAGAATTTATCTCTAAAAATGTTCTTTTATAGCAGCTGAAGTTCAAATAAAACTGGATTAAACCACTGTTTGTAAAACCTATTGTAGTGCTACTGGAACTGTTGCATGAAGTTACAGATACAGTTCATAATTTGGTGATTTAATGGTGATTTTAATGGTCGAGTGATCTGAGTATCATCCTGTGAGCTCAGTGTAGGATGAGAAGAACTTTGTTTCGTGTTAAGGTTAGATGTGGTCGTGTTTTTATCACTCAGAAGTGGAAAGCCAATGATAATGATTAATTGGTCTCTCAATGAAGAGATGGTTGAAATATTGCTGGTGTCAGATCTCCACTGTACTCTTAGTTGTAGGAAATGTTCCATTACAGTGAGTGAGTACACTGTCATTCACTTCTCTGAATAATCAAAGGTAGATTATTTGATTTAGAGGGACTCGGCTACAACTCACTGTAAGTTTGCGAATGTTGAAATCCTGTCACTGCTCGGTGACGTATTTATATCAGATGTGCTAAAAATCGTTTTATTGTTACGCTTTGTTAAATTGAAGAATGAATGAATTGAATTCATTGGCCATTATGGAGGAAATCAGAGTCATTCTCATTTGTGAGAAATGTGAGTGGAAGTTGAAACACAGACCATGAAAGCTACATGCTCCTGCAGATACTTTTTCTTCCTGTTTTAGCCTCTGTTTACATTAAGACCCTGAGTTTCACTAGAAAAAAACGGAGCCTTTTCAAAACCGGAAAAAAAGAGATTTTTGTTTGTGCTGACACGTGATCGTTATGTGACTTCTGACAAACACGGCTGTCTGCTGGTGCTTGTGGTTCTCCATGTGATTACTTAATGCTGGGTTTGTCAGTGACATTTTTTTTTTTGTCAGAATTCAGTACGAGTATGAAATATTCATTTGTTATGCAGCAGTTATGACAGTTTATCAAATCATTATTTTGTTGTGCGTCATCTGACAACAGATGCACAAAAAGTCGAACAAAGACAACACATGGCTCTGTTGAAGCAGAAATGTTGTTGTTTGCGAAGCAGGAAAGAGACGAGGACATTTAAACACTTTTGTCAATGTGGGCAGCAAAACTTTTCAGAAATTGTTCTGAAAATGTCAGAGTCGACAGAAAACTTTCAAGAGTAAACAGTGCCTTCAGATTTATCTCCATCAGTGTGGCCAGTGCCTGAGATCAGCACATCAGAAACCCTAATGCTCTGAGCTGGAAATGGGGTTTTAGCATTTTCACACAAAGTGCTTAGGCCCTGCTTTCTGCTGAGAACGTCCTCACCCAGAAAACAGAGCTTGTATTCTGATAGACCCAGAAACATACTTCTATGTCTCATGTGTTACCTGACTTCTTTCTTTCTTTCTTTCTTTCTTTCTTTCTTTCTTTCTTTCTTTCTTTCTTTCTCTTTCTTGCTTTCTCTTTCTTTCTTTCTTTCTTTCTCCTTCCCTCCCTCCCGCCCGCTCTCCCTGGCCCCTCTTTCTTCCTTCCTTCCTTGCTTCCTTCCCTCCCATACCATAATATTTACAGCCTACCTTTCGCCATCTATAAACTCAACAACAAACAGATAAACAACAGAACAAAAGAACATAAAGTCAGACACGTGAATTAGCATGCACACAACAGGGTATTGTCCTTCTTTGTACTTTTATTTTTAGTCATTTTTTAATAAGACATGAAAATTACCATCCATCCGTTCACACACTCCGTCCACAGCATTTAAAGCCTTGGCTCTAATCAGCCCGATGCAGCAGGTTCAATCAGCAGCAGAGGCAGCCGGTGAGGTGGAGCTGACTGACAGGCTGTTTCTAGTCGAGCTAGTCGGTGAGTTTTGTGCTGTAGGAACTCAAACACTTAATTCTCACCTCTTTCTTCACCTTTTTGTTTATTCCACAAACAAAAGAGTGCAGACTGACAGACCTGCAGCTTTTTAGAGGATATGTTGAAACACATTTACATTACATTTACATTGGCAGAAAAATGCATGGGTTACTTTGTTTTTGTTGGTTTCTTTGCATCAGCTGCAGTCTTTGCTGTATGTCCAAGTGTGACTTTTGACAGAAGGCATGAGACGATGCAAACTGATTGATCAGTCAGCCTTTGTCGTCACCCGCACCAGAGGTCGACTTGGTGTGTCACGGTGCCTCGATGGAGCGGACCAAGCGAGCGTGGAGACCTCATAAATCCTGTAATATAGCAGAAACTCGAGTCATACGCTCAGAGCACGTGTTGTCTAAATTCCCTGTTTTGCCACACTGCTGCAGGTGATACCACATATAGAAAAGTTTGTGTGTGTGTGTGTGTGTGTGTGTGTGTGTGTGTGTGTTTATGTGTTGTGTGGTGCAGTGTGTGTGTGTGAGCGGCGCTGGGCATGCTGAACTGTTGTGGTGTGCAGATTCTCTCTGACATGCAGTCACAATCACACAGCCTTATCTCTGCTCACCTTCTGCTGACTCCCCCAGGCAGCCAGCCCTGCTGTGTCCTCAGCTTCACCACAGCTTCTATGTTTGTGTGTATGTATGTGTGTGTGTGTGTGTGTGTGTGTGTGTGTGTGTGTGTGTGTGTGTGTGTGTGTGTGTGTGCGCATGTGTGCATGCTGCATGTCGGGCTCAGATATTTTTAGACTTCTTAAATGCTGCACAGTCTGTAGCTTGTACTGTGGAGACATGAATGCGTGCTCCGGTGAATCTGTGGTTATGTCAGCCCGCATATGTACAGTAAGGCATGTGTGCCTGGTATGGATGTTTATAGGTTTATGGATTCCATGAATAAAGAACGGAGACGTTTTTTTCTCTTTCAATCAATGTGTGTGTGTGTGTCTGTGTGTGTTTCTCCCAGCGAATCGTCTCCATGTCGACGAGCGTTTCCCTCCCTCTCTGCTTCACTGAGCTGACAGTGGGTCCAGGCTCTTTTCTCTCTCTCTCTCTCTCTCTCTCTCTCTCTCTCTCTCTTTCTCTCTCTCTCTCTCTCTCCCTCTCCCTCTCCCTCTCTCCTGTCTCCCTTCCTCCCTCCCTCTCCCCTCTTCCTCCTCTCTCTTTGTTCCTCTTGGCGTGGATGTTGGACATGTGGTGCAGTCAGTCTTCCTAGAAGATGAATGTGTCAGTGATTAAGTTATTTCACTCTGTTATCATGGAGAATAATAAGTAGAGAAGCTTGGTGCTGACAGATCTGAGGGGAGAGAGGGAGTCCAGATGTTTGGGTGACAATGTGCGTTCGGGTGTTAATTTATCCAGCTTATGCCCATTTTTATATTGTAATGTTTCACAATATGTGGTATTATAAATTCGCTGTGAATGCCTGCTGACTCTATTTGTTATACAATCACTTTAAAATTAAGGTGGTAATGACTTACATGAAGAACGACAACATTTATTTTTCCATCAACTAGACTGAAACAAAAACATTCCCTGAAGATAGAATAAAGCCACTTTAGGAAAATAAACTCAACAAAAGGACGACTTAAAGTAGTTTTTTGTGGCGGTTCTTTTGTGCCTGCTAATGTTGGCTATACTTCATCCTGTCCGAGAAGAAAAACAGTGTCTGGCTCGCAATATTTCAATGCCACAGCAGAGATTTTTAACCAGAGCTAGAGCGGCTGGTGGATAGATATTTTACAGATATTGATAT